GGGGGTGGACGTGAGTGTTTCCCAAAAATCAAAAAGGGAGCGTGATGCCAAAAAGTTTGGGAACCACTGGTCTAGTGAGTATCACTGTAACTTGGTGGGATTATTTTCCCAACTGCAATGTTCACATAGAGTGATATCTACCGTATACTTGAGAGAGTTTGTCTGTCCAGCTGTTTGTTTAGAGAACCACCAAATTCAGGATACAAGTTCCTCTTATGTCAATTTACAGTAAGGCAAGGGGTTGTTTGTGCCAGAAAAACGGGATGTGCCTGGAATGGGATTGCTTCTCATCAAACCATACAAGAAAGAGACAGAATCAGTAGGCAGATGAAATGGGCTGCCTGGGGGCTCCCTGTCCAGGACTGTGTCAGCCCCAATCCTCCCATTCCCCCAGCACCTGTCAGAATGGGGGGGTCAGAAGATCTAACTCGTGTGAGGGGAAACTGAGGCAGTAGCTTTCCTGAAGTCAGTCTGGACAAAGTAGTACTGCTCCTATCTCCTGTAGCCTTTGTCTGTCTGCTGGATGATGCAATAAAATTCCAGAAGTCAAGTCCTCCCCTAACCCAGAGACCCCTTTCTCACTGAAGGGGGGGGCTGAAGTTCCTACCTCTCCCCAATTTGTACAGAAACATTGCTGGCTGTTCCCCTTTGCTAGGGAGTGAGGGGAAGTGCACAGCTTGCTGCATTCCTCAATCTGGCTGGGGGGTGCAAGGGGCAGATGAACATGGACCTGCCCCAGGTGGGGGAAATGCACCCCACCCCCCGCTATGCCTGCTGGAGATGCAGCAGCCATGGAGAAGCGCTTCTCACCTGGCCCCAAGTTGCTGCGGTGAGAGGGGGCTGGGGTGGTCTCCTCTCTCTGGGGCAGCCTGCATCCTGAACCCCTCACCTCCAGCCCCACCCCGGAGCCAGGATTCAAATGAACCCTGGACATTTTCGTTTTCTTTTCCAAAACCAAAAATTAATTGGAGTTAAGGACCTGAGCAACATCCTTGCCAGCTGAGGTTATTCAGAACATACAGGTCAATTGGAAGTAGATAATTCAGGGATGTAGTTTCCGGTCGGTTCTGTGGAAGAAGTGGGTTTGAAGGAGGAAGGGCAGTGTCTGCGTGAACCTGCTCAGAAAGGCCAGGAGTAGAAGCCAGCATGGAAGACCCGCGTGTGGCGAAGAAGCCAAGAAGCCAACGCAGAAGATGACAGAAGGGCAAAGCAGCCGTGAAGGACAGCAGGAGGGAAGGCTCACCATGGCTTAACGTTAGTGGTTCCTTTCTCTGAATCCAATGCTTGGAACTTTGGACCCACCGGATTTGAATGGATCCGTCTGGGAGGTTCTAAAGAGGGCAGCATTCCCGATGTACGGCTTTAGCTCTTGAAATGGGTCTGGAAAATTCGACCTGCCTCTGGGGTGGAAACAGGTGGCTTCAAAAAAAGTCACTGCTCAGATTTGACGTTGGCTTGGCCCATTTGTAGCTCTGGTTTTCAGCTGACACATGCCCCAGACGTGTGCCAGAGCACACTGGCTAGAGGGAGATTTTATAGTGGTCTCTAGTTGTGAATTGGAAACCTTCCCTAGTGGAGCTCTCTCAGTTCACTTGCTTGTCTCACACCTCCACTGTACCCCCACTTGGAGGCTTTCCAGAGCTTGTCCTCAGGAGAAAAATCAGCAGGGGATATGAAGTCAGCTTAGGCTGCTCAAGACGTCTTAGTTTTGTTCTTCGCCTACCACCACCTCTGCACGTCCGAAGAAACAAACGCCCCGTTGGTCTAGCTCCCAGCTCTAAACTAAGCCCAGGAGCCAGGGTAACCACAGACTCCCTTCCTGTGCGGGTTCCAGTTACACAGAGAAATTGGAAGGGAGTCAGACTCCAACCAAAAGATGCATGGAATGTGTAACGCTGGGTTGCTATAGAGATGCTACATCGACATCTCCAAATTCAAATGTGTCAACAAACCACACACGACAGGCAGACGTACGATCAGATCAAGCCCTCTGAACCACAAAAGGATCTCAAAGACAAGCCCTTTTACAGCTGCGTCGCGGAGCTTGGTTTATGTTATACATGGCTCCTTTCCGTCCAAAGCTGACATCTTCATTTGGAAGAATCTCATTCTTTCATGCAACTTTTAAAGGCAGATCAAAAGACAAACCCACGCCACAAAGAGCTGAGCTTCTACAAAGTTTTCTTAGAATCATTTTGGGTGATCGACTTAAGAGTATAAAATCTGTCTACACTCAAGCTAGTCTAATTTCTGCAGTTTCACTTCACTTGCCGGAGCTTCTGTCCAAATAAAACAAATGTAGTATTTTCCCAAATAAACGCCCCAATTTTAACCATGACTTTTACATTCAGATCAAAAAAGTATCATGTGCTATAAGCAATCACCAAAAATGTTAGTCAAACACTTATGCAACCATGAAATTACCTGTAAATGTTTAAGCCTACGTCTTTTTTCTCCTCTAAAGCTCATGTATCATATTCTTTAACCTAAAAAGACTTGATTTTCAAATGCAGTTACAAGACTCCAAATTAGAACAAAAGGTAGTATTATAGTGATTTGTAGCAATGCAAGTATCTGAGATCCAGCTACCACACAAACTTATAGTTCCTCTACTTTTAAATTGACAAGCCAATAAGGGATTTTAGTGCTATTTTGGTGGGGGAAGTCACAGAGGAAAATATTTGGGCCAGGACGAAATCTCCAAAAACCTCCTAAATATAAAATATTAACAATAACAAGTAAATAGTTAATTGTTGTGCTTTGCACTGCTGATAAGAAATACAAATACCGAGACACTGATCCTATTCGTTACACAGACAAGACTTTACATATTAAGTAAGATTCTTGACTTTTTCTAAGGGGACAAAGTGAAAAAATAGTAAAGTACCTTCTCCTCTGATAAGGTCTAATTCACAACACACAATAAACATTATTGACTGTCCAGGCTTTGGAGAGTATGGGCCAGTAAGCCCTGTACATAAGGGTGTGAATATTTTTTGTCTGCTTAGCTGAAGAAAAACCAACCACAGATCTGCAAAAGATACACATGTATTGAGAAACCCAGTGGACAATGTATGTGGAGCGAGTGATTTTCAAAGAACTATATTTGTGTCTCAGGATTAAATTTCAACCTCTAACCCTTTAGATAATAAAGATGTTCCAAACTCAAAAGGAACAAGAACTGTGTTCGGCTTTATAAAAGGAAAAGGGTATTCTTTTTAAATACACTTATTGCTTGGCTCAAACCTAAAAAAATTACTTCTCAACAGAAACCAAGTACACAGAATTTTATCACAGAGGGTAAAAGTTTCAGCAAACTGAGCAGCTGAAAATGGGGCGTTAGAATAGAAACCACTACAAAGCTGTATGCACTCTAAACTCAGGAAAGTTTAGAAATCTTCTCGTTTGTAAGCTTGAACATGTTTATTAAAGGAGTCTCAGCTGACTGTAGCCTGCCTCTATGTGCCGTTTATCTCCTTATCGAAAAGAGGGAGCCACATCTACCCAACTCTTCATTTGACTAGGAATACACTGAATTCATTTGATTAGGAACACACTGAATTTTATGCACACTCACGATCAGGCAGATTGTTCTGGAGCATGCAATTTTATCTTCACTGCGTTTGTTTGGGTTGAGCTGATCAAGTTCTGTATTTGTGCCTCAGTAAAAGCAAAACCAGTGTATTAGAGGATTGCTGAGTACTGGTCACCTAAGAGCATGCAGGAAATTTCAGTAGTAATCTCTGACTAGTTTGACTTTTGTATGTTATTTGACTAATACAAGAGCCATAAATATATTAGTCAAATACCAGTACAATTCATCTAATAATATACCCGATAGGGATGTTTCCTGTTATTTGCTCAGTAATAAATTACCTGGGGAAAAAACGGAATAGAAAATTGATAAAGTTACTGTTATCAATAAAGTTGATAAAGTTACTGTTAGCATGTTCATGTGTGTAAACAAACTATAATTTTATTAATTTACACTGATGAAAGCAGGCATGCGGGATATAACACCTCATATTTTTTCCCCCTTGACTAGTGGAGGCTAGATCTTCAGACTGATGGAAATCAAGCGGAACTTTCAAATCCTGCTGGACTTAACTTTAAAAGAAAAGATTAAGTAGACACCTCTGACACAAACTAGGGCATTGCTATATGCCAGAGGTCAATTATACTACGATATTGACAAATATTATTCAGGGATTTCCAACCTGCCAGACATGACCATGCCACCAGAGTGCTAGCACAAGTACAATATATTAAATATATTGTCTTGCATGTGCATCAAATCTGAGAGTAGCAGTTCACTTTCTACAACAGAGTCTCTCTTTTTTTTTTTAAGTGAAGAAGGAAATCAACAATACAGCCTAAAGCCTTCGGCTACGTCTACACTGGCCCCTTTTCCGGAAGGGGCATGTAAATTTCACGAGTCGTCGTAGGGAAATCCGCGGGGGATTTAAATATCCCCCGCGGCACTTAAATAAAAATGTCCGCCGCTTTTTTCCGGCTTTTAAAAAAGCCGGAAAAGAGCATCTAGACTGGCCCCGATCCTCCGGAAAAAGTGCCCTTTTCCGGAGGGTCACATTCCTACTTTGAAGTAGGAAAAGGGGCCAGTGTAGACGTAGCCCCTAAAGCCTTCCTGTTCTCTCACACATTGATACATCAATGCTCCGAAGTGCAAACCAGGCAGCTGAATATTTTCATAATTCTAAGAGAGAGCTGATTTAAGTGGCTTGCCATCTTCCTTTCATTAAGCTATCTAGCAAAGCTTTCCAATATAAGACAGTGTAGATAAATCAAGGTCTAGAAAAGTTAAAGTCTTCTCCAGGGTTGTGAAAATTAAGCAACTTACTGTCTTATTAGTTTTTCCTGGCAACAGACAATACTTTCTGTACTGCACTGTTATTGCTAACTCAAAGTCTGGCTTTTAAATAAAAGTTCTACTCATACAAAAGTCTCAACTTTACAAAACTTCTCACAAAACTGTCGCTCACCAGGTAAAAGGAACACAGAGGCTCCAGCTGAAACCTTCCTTTTTTCACCCACGTGTCCTGTGAACCATGCTGTCATATCCAAGGCCTGCTTTATTTTTTGAGAAATGGCAGTTGTACTTATATAAACAACGAGAAGTCCTGTGGCACCTTATAGACTAAGATGTATTGGAGCATAAGCTTTCGTGGGCAAAGACCCACTTCGTCAGATGCACGTGTGGCTTTGCCACAATTCTAAGTTCCCAGCCGCCATGGGCAGGGGGTTGCTCCAGCCCCGGAGGGCCTGCTGTGGACAGGGGCTGCTCCGGATGCCCGTGTCCATGGTGGGCCTGACGCATCGCAGGCAGGGGCTGCTGCTGATGTCCAGAGCCACCCCTGTCCAAGGGACAGGGCTTCCCTGACTTTACATCCCTACTGACTTTGGGGAAAGAGAAGATAAAGACGATATTTTTGGAAAGAGGACGGAACAGAGAAGAGTGTCCCATACTTTTTTTTTTTTTTTTAAATGCAGCAAATCTTTGTAGAGTGTTGCATCAAACCAGGCTGGGTTTTATTTCCTTTCCTGTCATCCGTGTATGAAGTAATCTCTTATTGACAAGTCTCAGAGGAGTAGCCATGCTCAGTCGTATCTGCAAAAATAACAAGGAGTTCTGTGGCACCTTAAAGGCTAACAGAATTATTTGGGCATAAACTTTTGTGGGTAAAAATCACTGTGTCAGATGCAAGCTTATGCCCAAATAAATAAGAACATAAGAATGGCCAGACAAAATGTCCATCTAGCCCAATGCCCTGTCTTCTGATAGTGGCCAATGCCAGACGCCCCAAAGGGAGTGAACAGAACAGGGTATCATCGAGTGATCCCTCCCGTCACCCATTTCCAGTCTCTGACAAACAGAGGTCAGGGACACCATTCCTACGCAGCCTGGCTAATAGCCACTGATAGACTTAACCTCCATGAATTTATCTAGCTCTTTTTTCAACCCTATTCAAGTCCTAGTCTTCACGACATCCTCTGGCAAGGAGTTCCACGGGTTGACTGTGCGTTGCATGAAGAAAAACTTCCTTTTGTTTGTTTTAAACCTGCTACCTATTCATTTCATTTGGTGACCCCTAGTTCTTATGTTAGTCTTTAAGGTGTGACATGTTTCCTCATTATCTTATTGGCACTGGTCACGGACAGCCACCAAAGGAACCCAACTAGTTTTTTAAAGCCATACGGTTCCTTGCACATTAAAGGTTCTTTGAAAGTTGCTTACACAAAGCCCAAAATTTGGGAACCTTTTCTGTACAGCCACATGTCCATCCTTAGGAAAAGGACAATGCTGAATAATTTTTCCTATCAGATTTTGGAGTTCATCCTTTCCTGCAGACAGAAAGTGACCTTTCGCCCCTCATCCACTGACACACTCGCTGTTCCCGCACATGGAGCTGAGCAAGGCTGAATCATGACTCTGTTGCGATAGCATCTGACGGGGTAGAGCTCACAACTTGTAAGGTGGGGATGAGGCTGTGGGCTGGCCATCTGCAGGGCCCAGGCCAGAGCAGTTCACATAACTCTTGTAGCTTTGGGTTGAGCTTAAGCACACACAGAACAGGCACCGAGGTGTCCTCAATCCCGTCGGGGCACTCACACGTTTTATAGGTTGACCCTGAATCTTGCCCAAGTTGTAACTGACCCAAGAAATCACCACCATAGCAAGGGGTTCAAATAACCGGCAGAGATGCCCAGCCCTACATCAGGGACCCAGAGAGGCGTCCTCCGGGAGGAGCTGCTGCGAGAAGTTAGCGCTGCACCAGAGGGACAGAGCAGTCTCCCTGCTTGGACCAGGCGGAAGCCCTGGTTGCCTGCTAGACCCAAGGAAGATGCAGAGGGGGACTCCAGGGTAGCCCTGGGGAGGGGTACATGACATGCCCTGGGCAGGGCACACAAGGAGACAGCCTAGCAGGTCCCTTGCAATTGTACTAGGGGCCCACCCACCCTGCCGGTTATGGGGGTAGCCCACACTGGGAGCATGGTGGGGGGAAAGGGAATCCAGGGATGGTCTCTTGCCAGCACAGTGGTAAGACCTACAGCCCCAGGCAGAAGGTGTCGGGTAGCCCTGGGCAGGGGATATTTGGGGCAGGCAACATGGGGGGGGGGGGGAAGAGGGGAAGGAGTGGAGGGAGGAATTTAGCCCCAGCAGGCACTGTGCCTGGAAAGGTAGATGGGGGACCTGCCATCGGGGAAGGCACATGGGATAGCATCAGGGAAGATGAGTAGGGCTAGACCCAAGGCGGCCCACCAGCAGGGGATGCCCAGAGAAGGGTACCTGGAAGGTACTTGACAGCTGGGTGCACAGGAGTGCCCTGGAGAGGGCACAGTGGGCAAGGTAGCCTGGGCCCAGCCCATACCCTCACAGCTCTGGACAGACTGTCCTGGGGTACCACCAGCAGGGGGTGCCCACAGAAGGGCACACATGGAAGCCCTGGGGAGGAGTGCACAGGGGAGCACCAGGGCAGGGCACAGGTGGGCAATCAGCCAGCAGGGCACGCAGGGCTTCCAGGGCAGAGCTCACATGGAAGCTGCAGGGCAGGGCACACAAGGTACCAGGGGAAGGGTGCACAGGGGTACCCACCGGCAGGGTGTTCAGGGATACCTGGGGAAGGGCACACGAGGGAGCCACAGGAAGGGTGCAGGGAGAGCTGGAGAAGAGGGTGTGGTGGGGTACCCAGAGAAAGGTGCATGGGGGTACCCGCCGGCAGGGAGCGCAGGGGTACCCGGGGAAGGGCGCCCGGGGGAGCGGGAGGGCAGGACAGGGGTCCCTGGGGAAGGGCACTTGGAGGAGCCGGAGGGCAGGGCAGGGGTGCCCGGGGAAGGGCGCATAGGGGAGCCGCGGGAAGGCGTACGGAGGTACCCGCCGGCAGGGGGCGGAG